ACCAGGGAAACTTGTGGCAATACGCCGAAATTGACATTCAAGACATCGTCGGAGAATATCAGGTAAGTATGACACGTGACACGCCAACGAGACTGTTGTGATATTTAGGTAACGGTGTGCTGCCCATTATCACGTGTTATAAAACATCATTATCAGAATTAGACGTCATAGCTTCACGTTTTCACACGACAGTGTAAACCTCTATTCGCGAGTAAATTTATTTTAACAAAAAGCTCTCAAATTTAACTAAATTGTTTTAATTCCAATTGTGATGGTTTATAAAAGCAATAATGAACCTTCTACAGCGTCATATTGGACTCGGAGTAGAGTCTAGACGCAATAATGTACTCGGCTTCGCCCCACGCATAATTTTTAAAATGGAATGGACCTTTCTTCTCATCCAATATGGCGCTGTGGGGGTTTCATTTTTGTTTAAATAACAGGGCTCAGACGGGGATGTTCTCTTAAATAATGGGCTCGACTGTTTCTTGCCCATTATTGCGCACATTCCCGTCCTTGCCCTGTTTTGCACGCAATAAAAGGCAGCGTGTCGTCCGTTATTCCCTAATTAACGCCAGTCATAAGGAAATTAATGTTTATGGAAAACAGACTATGTGAATGATATCGTATAATGTATTTAAACGACACTCAATGGATGGATGGATGGATTCGGCGCCAACACGTTGATATGGCGTGTCTAGATTATTACGATTTTGTCGGCATCATAAAATCTAAAATATTGAGCAAAACTAAAAAATATGAATCAAAAATAACATTTAATGCTCTAACACATACGATATGGAGACTGCTTTTCTGTCAGTGCTTAATTTAAAAAGCAAACAAACACCATAATTTTAAAATCGTTTTGCACATCTGGGAAATCAATAGAAATATCTTTAATAAAAAAAGTCGTAAAAATAGCTTAATGCAAAGATCGTTAATGATACGACATGCATTGTATAACGAGTGAGAATTGAGGTGATCTGCTGCTATGTAAACCCTAAATTATCACGTGTTATCAGATGTGCGGCACAAACGAACGCTGATGACTGTTCCGTCGATGAGACCCAGGTGACGTCAAACAACCTACATAGCTAGTAATGTTTTAGCAATCACAATGTATGTTTTCCAGGGAGGTTGTCAGCATGTCTGAAAATTGCTCGATCTTTAACTCATAAATCAGAAGTAAGTGACAATTACAGAACGGTTGCCATGGCGTAGGAATACATTAAGTACGGAAGTCACGTGGCACATATCTGTGTACGTTGCTATATATGTATACTTGATGTATTCTATATTTTATGTGAAGAGAAAATATGTTTTCGCTGAAAGTTTGTCGAAACAAACCCACACTTAAACTGAATCGTTGCTACCAGTGTACATAATACGTCAAACATTATACAGTCAACCTACATAGTAAAATGTAGTTACTATGGAATGTAGCAATGATGGTTCCATCGTTCGTTAAAACCGATAAAACGTTGACACTTGCCTTTTCTTTTACTTAGTGTTGCTCATTTTGGCGGGAATGTGTACGGTGAATGCGTGATATTTATCGGCAAGCTAATAACATATTCCCAACTTCTTCGAAATGGAGATAATATTCAATGAAAGACTTATTAGTTTTGGGTATTTGCTATTTGGGATATTTGTGCGTTTTAACTCTCGGATTTTGCTAAATTATGTCGACTTGATATCGCTCTGCTGAAACGATTCAAGTTATCAAATGCTTGAGGAAAATGTGTTCCCCATATTTTACTATTAACGTGGTCCATCTATGTACTAATTTATTTATGACTTTATGACAACAATTCACCTTGATAATTCACACGTTGACCAGCGGTAGTGATGCACTCGGTATTTCGAATGGTCATGGCTGCGGCGAGGTTTTATCAAATTCATCTTCAATTACTGAGGTCCCTTCGCGATTGCAACAGTTACATTCACCAACGTTATTACACATCAACCTCTCGTTCGGGAACATTCTGTTTAAATCTCATATCGACGTGAACCATCAGGCAACACAGAGCTCAGCGTGACTGGTCAATCGACCACGTATTTACAGAAGTTAGCTGTGACCCAATAAACTTCTTTGCACTTTTTGCACGAAATAGCCTCTTTGCAATTCAGTGCGCATTTTTCAAAATATCATGATGGTATATCCATATGATAAAAATAATCCTCTTTTCATCGAAAGCCGTATAAATATACGATACCATTCAAGAATGTTTATGTTTAATGCATATTTTTTGCATAAATGAATTTCCAATTAGTGTTAACGGAATAGCTAGACAATCAAATGATTTCCGTCGGTGTTCTGGACAATTGACGTTACAATACAACAATAATGAACAGTCGGTGGCGATCATGCAAATTAACTATTAACAGGTTTTTACTTTTAATATAGCCCCATGGTCTAAAGAAAATAATGAAATGAAATGAAACACTTATATTGATACTGACAGACATCATTTGCGTGTGTGGCAGAATTCGGTCGTGAGTTATCGATAGTATATGTTAAAATGTTATTTCTTGCTCACATTGTTCTATGCTGGACGTTCAGCTACAAGACGACTGTCACTCAGTTATATCAAAATTCCAGAGTCAGTGCAATAATTCTACTTCAAAGCGAATCAGAGAGCAGTTTCTCAGTAGTTTCGATATATTAAAATTCTCCTTATATATATATGTTTCGACTCCATGAATCATGATTTTTTTGTGTGAATTGTGAATTAGTCTTATTCCCATCGCTGTAAAGGTCGACATATGGAATGGTAAATGTATAAACAAACAAATAAACTGTTGTATCTAAATTATTTTTTTGTGATTTTAAACTCATCCAAAATATTTTGATCAAATTAAACCACCTGTTTCATCGACTATATTTTTTCTTAATTTCGCTGTTAACTGGAATCATTGGTATGTGTGTATGCATGGCCACACGCCCAGGTGTGTGTTCGTGTACACGCCCTTCTTTGCTGTGGTGGCCTCTAAGCTGAAATCACACGTAATATTAGCCGACAGATTGTTAACATCGGCCAATATTGTAGGCAGATAAATTGAAATCTACATGATAATTGTTGGCGACTGACTGTGAACGAATGACGTTACCACGTGTTGTTTAATCTCGTACAAGTGTCAGTAGGCGATGAGATCCAAAAAATGAAACAACTGACTTTAAAAGATTCGGCCGGCAAGACTCGAAAAAAGGTCGGTCGACGATGCACCCACCAATCACGGATTGCATCCGAGAATTTTAGGCAGTTGACTGTGTCGTTCGACAGACTCAGTTGTCAGACTGTCTGTATCGTTTCAGCTATGACGTAATATTTGTAAATCACACAGTATGTAACGAGTTTGAAGTTAAATACTAGTAAATTGAATCGACCGCAACAAATCATGTAATACTATGATTTCTAGTAATCCATATTATGTTTCTATCTAGGTAGCATTCGAAGCGACACGCGGACGGGGATCGTTAGCCGACATTGCTATAGACGATTTCAAGTTGTTAGGCAAACTATGTTCAGGTAAAACAAATTAACAAGTCTTTACAAATCGTTAACCCGGTAACAGCGAACGCATGCAAAATAATAGAAGGATTCGCTCAATTACTGAAAATGATTACAGTGCAAATAATAAACGTGGCTTCACAGTTATTGCTGTATCGCGTTGAATACATCTATATATCTAACACAAAGCACATTTATTGTACATTTTATGAAGAAATCTCTTCCATACAACAATGTTGTGTCGTTTGTAGGCAAGCATGACAATGCACGTACATGCGATTAGCCGCTGCGACAATTCTACTCCGGGATTCAGAACAAGGCGGGTCATTTTTTATTTTATTTTTTTTATTTTGCTGTGACATTTATAGTGATTACACTCAACCTTGATCGCCCCCGAGAACCTCTCGGAATCGATACACAAAATACGTACACATGACCGATATCACCATGGATACATTCTCGGATACTGATTGAAGTTGAAAAGAATTTTACGGAAATGTTGCAATGTATGTGTTAATGATATTAAAATTATTTTCAGAATTTCAAGGGGAACTTTTGTACTTGAACTTGAGCAATCACATTTAAATCTTGTAACCCCAACGGCGAATGTTATTGTTTGCAGACCCGTGCGGTGATAACCCGTGCCAGAATGGCACTTGCATCGAACTGAAAGATGGCGGCTATATATGCAACTGTACAGAAGGGTTCACAGGTCAAAGATGTGAAACTGGTCCGTCATTAATTAATATTATCTCTCTGTGATAATACTGTGTTTGGGAAGGATGGGGTTGTTTTCGATATGAAAGTGTCGTATTCTAGGTGCCAAGGTTAACACTATGACGTCATGAATAATTATCGACTTCCGTTTCCGATAAGTACATCCGTTATCTGAATAAGGAACGGATACGCGCCCACAAAATGTGGCTGTCGTCTGTAAAAAATAAAGCTCGTTATATATTTCTTCAATCATGAGAGGGTCTAAGTTATTGGATCATTAGCGTAATTACCAAATTCGTGTGAACGGCGTTGCAGTCAATGAACGTATTCAGAGTATTTGATCTTGATGTATCTAACAGGATGTATAGACGGAAGTGATCATTTTATTTATATTGGAAATTCTTTCTATTTTAATGTTTAAGACTTTGACGAATGCAGCAGTGATCCTTGTCTAAACAACGGCACTTGTACAGATGCTGTAGGCCACTATAATTGCACTTGTATGGTCGGATATGATGGCGAGAACTGCGAAGGGGGTAAACGAACTGTTCTAATTTCATCACTTGACTTTAATGGTTACTATGTTGGCACGATTCATGTATACGTGAAGTGAATTTGTATGTATGATATTCTTCAACTATAGAAACGAAACTATTTATTTAAATGTTAAATTGTGAAATCGACGAAGATTGTTGTTCGAGTTTGTTTACAAATGTAACAATTTTTTCATGAACCAACTCTGATGGATTGACCCATCACGTGCACGTTACCATGGCAGCATTAATTTGTGTTATATTGTTATATTCATACAATCCACCACTAGAGTGCAGTGACAGCAATAAAAATTGTGCCTACTGGGCCGGAATCGGAGAGTGTGAACGAAATCCGACTTATATGACCAAGTTTTGTAAGAAGAGCTGTGCTGTCTGTTATGAGACAGGTTAGTCTTGTATGAAGTTGTGAACGAAGATATTTTTTCAAAAAATGAAATATTGGTATAAAATAACTTTCGTTTCGTCACGGTCAGCCCTGTGATCTTAATCAACGCTAATGGTATATTATCGATGTAGTAACAATCGATTATTTTAAGCCATTGATATACAGCCGCGTATGAAATTCACTGCCCTATTTCCACTTAAACTATGAATACGAAGTAAATCTACGGATGTTTTTCCTTCAACAAATGAATTAAGATCTGTAGTCAATATACAATTATGTCCATTGGGTCCGTAATTACAAAGAAATTAGAGAAAAGAAAATTGAAATGTGCACAATGAGAAAAAAAATTACGTCATTGAAACTAACAGCAATGGGTCTTTTTTTTTGGTTTTAGTTTGTGAGGACATTGCAGGTGAACACTGCCCTCTATGGGCTGAACTTGGAGAATGTGAAAAGAATCCTTACTACATGTTGGCCAACTGTCAACGAAGTTGTCGTAGCTGCATTATTGGTATTTATTACTATTATCAATATGAATATATTTTCATATTAATGCTAATACTTGAAATTGTTTGTGTATACATTATCGCGATAAACATCATATGGTTTTTAGCGGTACTTACCAACAAGAGTCAGCGATTGAAGTTGTTCAATTTTGTTTTGTTTATTTGTTTCGATTACAGTTTGTTTTTCCTTTATTTAATTCAAAATATTTATCTGTTTTGCATTAAATTTAGTGGGGGCAAGCTGTATAGCCCATTCACAATTTGTTCGATAATCCGTAATAAACTGATTTGAAATAACTATGTAGATTGTCTTTGTTCAACGTATTTATTAATTAGTACTCCAACCTCATTCCATAAACTGGTTGATAGTGATTTTCATTCACTGACTGCTACACACGGCACTCAGAGTTCTCAACTTAGACATCGATAATTGAAACTCTGCCATCGTTCCATGAGACTGTATATTTGCTTAGCTGGAGTCAGAGAAGACTGTAATCGTTCCAATATCACGTCTTTGCATTCACACGTAAAAACCCAGAAATACGAATACAAAACAATTCAAAAGTTAGAAAAGTTACGTACGTGTCACACGTTTTAAAGTTGTGCTCACAACCTACCCGTTATTGTAGTGAGGAATTGTTGAATGGTCATTGAAATCAAATGATTAAGCATTAACCAACTAATTTCTCGGTAATTTGACTGAATAAAAAAAAACGTAGATGAACTCAACATGAGATCAATTTTTAGATGTGAGACTGCGTGGGACATTTTTGTTTTTCGGGATTTTTTCTTCAATCTAAATCGTTTAAAAAAAACGTTCTTTGATCATGTTTTGTAGATATTAACGATTGTGATCCAAATCCGTGTCGAAATGGTGGGACGTGTTTTGATGGGTCACATGACTACAATTGTACCTGTACATTGGCGTATACAGGCAAAAGTTGTGATGAAGGTATGTAATATAACATGATGGAAATTTAGACATCGAGTGATTGAATACTTTCTAATATGACACTCACTGATAAATGTATGATTCTTGTGATGAGAGCAAGGTACCGGGAATTGGTATTCCTCTCTGAAAATGAACCGCATGAATAAATTAATCTATTACACTTCACTGGATTATTTGGCTCATGTAATTTGTATTGCAAATATTGTATGACACTATAGCTTATACTAAGGTGTCGATTAAGTTTAAACATGTACTGGTCTAGATAGAGCTTCTATTGATGCAATATAAATGACAACATGTAACACTTAGTATTTTGTTCAATGCTATATATTGACTGATATATGTTATTTTACGAGCGTAAAGTAGTAAGTTTGCACTCATCCTGTGATCCGCGATGGATTGTTATTCACAATGAACTGAAAAAGATGTTCTTATTGCACACCTGAGTATTCGTTCGATGAAATAACGGAATTCTCTAATACGCATGCGCACTAGTTGTTTTGGTACGTACAGTCACTGCATATACGTATTAGTGATTTTGATTTTTCATCTAACGAATAATATTGCGGGCCTTGCAAACGCAACATATTTAGTTTATGATAAGTCATAATCCGATTTAGTCTACAGTATGGACTATCGAACAACATTAACAATTCTATATTTACATCTTTAATCACATGGATTGCCCTTGATTTGGGAATTGGGATTACAAATTTCACCGGCAGCGCTCGTTCGAAATAAATAATAACTATTATAGTAACAATGACAATACAAGACTACTAAACATGTGATATTGATGGTATATTTGATATTACAGAAGTAGACGAGTGTTTAAGTAATCCGTGTATGAACGGCGGTACTTGTCACGACAAAGTCGGATCATATAACTGTACGTGTGCGGCTGGGTGGACGGGACACTCCTGTAATCGAGGTTCGTATCTGTATTAGTAGCGGCTTAGTGTTGTACGTGCACAGGGATGAATTGGACGACCCATGTAGACACACAAGTTGAATTGCTGGATGTGATTTAAAACGACCAGTGATAATGGTAGAGGCCCAGATCACACAACGATGTTCGCTTGGGTGACGAATGGATATAATAAGACTGGTCGAAAACTCACCATTTCTAGGCCCTCCTCATTGGTGTGCATGCAGGGAATATAGAATTCAACTATGGGGATTATATAAGAAGACAGATCAAGTTAAAAAGATTAAACTGTCAGATTGGTTTCCTTTCCCTAAACTCCGTCATGCGCGGTTGAAATTAACATCCCCCATTAGCCATGACTTGTACTTAAATGTTTATTTTTGATTTGTTGTTGTTTTTGTGCTTACAGAGGTTGAGAATGTTCCAGTGTTCCCTGTCAACATGGTGGGACATGTGCCGATTTATTTTTAGATTATAATTGCACATGCACAGATGGTTACGAGGGACATGATTGCGAAGTTGGTGAGTGAAGATGAAGATTACTTTGCAAACACTCTTGCGTGATTAGCTATCGATTTCATTACCAGCAGACGGATGATAGTAGCTTATATAAAATCTGACAGCCAGAACTGCGACTGTATTCGTGTACATTGAATGTACAGCCCGCCGCCCACCACTCTCCTCTCCTACGCTACGCGACTGTTGCAATCATGGCAAACTCGTACGATTGCCACGAGTGACGACGAAGAGTGTAGTTCGGCAGCGCCACGAACGGCAAGGCACGACAGTATGATGTATTCGTATTTTTACGGTTTCACGTGCACTTCCACGCCGCGCCGCGAGTGTGTTATGTAAAAAAGGCAGACGTCGGGTACGAGTGATTGATTCATGCGAGTGATAACTCAAACGCTAAATAAAATAACAATTAATGTTTTTAAGAAACGGGATTAGAATTGCAAACTAAATCACCAGTTACGCCAAGGCAACGTGTTGTCGGTTCGTTCCCTAATTCTTGCATGTTGTGGTTATTTCCGACTAGAGTCCGATGAGTGTCTGAGTAATCCATGCATGAATGGTGCCACATGCGTAGATCAACTTGCGAACTACACGTGCCAGTGCATCGATGGATGGACCGGTCGAAACTGCGACATTGGTGAGTCAAACGCAAGACAGTAATTGTCACAGTGGTAAATTTCAAGTTTTAATCTCCAATTTGAGACAATAATATTCATTATAAAGAATCATAATACTAGTAGTATCTCAAAAGGCATTCACATATCTATTTCGAAGATAAGTTTTTACTTCAAGTTGTAAGAAGGTGCCATGACCTTCCGTTGTTGAACGCGAAATTTTACGTATCAATGTCCATAGATGGTACACTGTCGTCATAACTGCGCACGTGCGCATGGCGAGACTCGTTCAACAGGGTAAAGGTTTCCCTAGCTCAGTAATAATTAGAAATGTTTACATAGAAACACATTTACGGTGAGTGTTAAACATGTTCATGTCACATGAATCAAAGTATGAATCACAAACTTAGCAACGCGCGCGAAACAAAAGTCAAACCAAATGAACAGAACAACTAACGACAGTGCCCCTTCGCATTGGACAATCGAACGTTACACTATCAATATTAGAGTGAAAACTGAAGTGTAGATGTTCAAATCAAGTATGAAAAATACCCTCCCTACGCGCAGTCCCCACTCACACACCATAAATTATACTCGTCACATACCGTTATTTTGTATTTCATTGTTGTTACTAGATTTCGACGAATGCTTTAGTCAGCCATGTCAAAATGGCGGTTCTTGTTACCATGGAGCCGGTCGTTTTTTATACGTGTGTCATTGTCCGCATGGATGGAAAGGAAGAAACTGCGAATTAGGTTAGTACATGAATAAATTCTGTCAATGTTAACCGATCATTTGTGATTTGATCACAAGTGTCACGTGATGAGTACGTCATCAAAGCCGCCATTTTGTTTGTAATATAATTCGCAGCTCAGTACGTAATATTCACCGAAATATGCTTCCAAACTTCTCTCTGTCACTCGGTAACTTGCAGGTAAATGTTTGATTTAACACACTGTGAAATCGTCAAAAATATTTGCAGTTGCTTGTAGAAAAAACAGTCTAGACTATCCTTCCTCATTCATACATGAGTATGTTTACATCAGAGCGACGATAGTGGCATATTATATTGTTTTGATTTTCAGTATTCGGAATGCTATAATAAGGTCAGACAGAGTATACTAAATGGTACTTCCAATAGAATTAGGAAATTAGAATTTTAAAAGACATCCCGAAAATATAGCATAACAACAGATGGGGTGGGCGTTGCTTGTCAATACAATGCAAAGTAACCCACCCTATATATAGAATATACATTGATGACAATTGAATGTGAGTCTTTACAATCGTGCTTGAACCAAACTGCCAAAAGCCTATAGCTTGTTTGATTTAACGCATGCGTAATAAATTATAAGTGATACAAAATATCGAGACTGTATGACGTCTGCTTTCTGGTTACGTATTTGTAGCTACCAGATGCCACTTACCCATGTTATGATAATTTTAACTCGATCGACTTGTGTAAACTATTAGTGGCATAATAACTTGTTTGTTTTTTTCCAGACGTTGACGAGTGTCTCAGCAACCCTTGTATTAATGGCGCTACTTGCGAGAATGGTAAAAACCTGTATACCTGTAAATGTCCTGTTGGGTTCGAAGGTCTGACGTGCGAGTCCGGTAAGTGTTGTGTGGTAAGGCGCAAGTAAACAAACGCGTCATACGTCTACACCATTCCGTTTAGACTAATAATCGAGAAATGTATCTTACTAAATACTATGAAAAATCATGCAGCATAACACATCTTAGCTAAGCAATCTGTGAGACGACAAATGATTGCATGCACTAAAAATTAGCTGCGTAATACAACGTCTTATAGGCCTTAACCGTAAATGGCCGCCAAGGGATCAACCACGAGACTCTCGAATTTATTCTCTTCCGGCGTCATTGCATTAACTGTTACCAGGACCTATGTGCACCATGTGCAACATGTGCCACACGCCATTCTGCGGTGATCCTTGGTCACCGTTGCCTGGGTCTAATGGTAGAGATTGCTATGTACCCGTGGTATTTGGAGCAGTGGGTACGTTGACGCGAGAAATTGGATCAGTATTTGTGGTGCAAAAACATGTCCTATGGCATCTGGGTATCAACGTGATTTCTAAGGCCATATCTTTGAAACTGAGGTCAATTGATGAACTCACTTGTGCCATTGTAAAGTGTTTCAGTGCATTACTTATTTCCTGAATAAACAATGAATTCAAAACAAGACTGACAATTTCACTTTACGATGTCTTACATCTTTCCGTGCTGATATTCGAGGATCATAGATCTATATATATATATATATATATTACTCTCAGTGTAATCTTCATTGTTATAATTGTTCTCGCAGTCACAATGTCGCGACTAACCATCAACTATTATTATCCGCCTGTACGAAACCCAGACCACACTCGTTATGGTATACTTCCATTAGCATACACTGATATCATTGTTAATCATAAAGTGGATATACGTGGCCTATACTTATATGCGATGAGAGTTACTTACATGTTCAACATTTTGTTACATCATTTTTCATGTTTGTGATTCTTTTTTCTCTTTCGAAGTATTTTTTTTTTTAAATAAAAACGTTTATTAAAACTTACATAAGATTAGATATACAACCGAGTGCGTACTTGAATACATATTCTTGAGGATACGAGTTTTTAAATAAGCATCGAAATCGTGTCAATTGTTCAATTATATATAGATGTGTCATGTTTCACAATAGTATAATAAATATTGAAAAGTACGAATATACGTATGAGTAGTTACTATACAGTAGAGCCATTTACATTAAATGCATTGCGTCGAGATAAAGTATTAAAGTATTAAATTTAGAACGACCAGCCGTAACATTAAATAGCAGACTTAATGAGTTATACAGTTTATTTCCTTAAGTTCTGTATTGTTTTGTTTATGAGTAATAAAAAAAAATGTCAAAAAAATACAAAACGTTATACAGATGATCTGAGATTGTCCTAATGTCACGTGACATTCCTAATGGATATTTGGCGATTGTGGCGTGAAAAGGATGATTGTGCCATTCTGACATCACTTCATAGTTTTATGTATTGAAGTCAATGGCATAAGTCCTTCCCCTAAATGATTTGAAGATTGTTTGTAGTATACTTGTAAATTGTTTGTTGTGTCGTGGATTGCTTGTTTGACTTCTAATGCTTTGTTTGGCTTGACATTTTCATATTGATTTTGAGTAATAGAGTAATTGACTAATTTCTATTTTTAAAAAAAAGTGTTGTTGAAAAGATTGTAGGGCGAGAAACAGAGTATGGATGTGTTACACTAAATTGACTACGTCTTGTTTACTCACCAGATGTGAACGAGTGTGAGAGCAATCCTTGTCAGCACGGTGAATGTTTTCATTTTTTTGGTGACAGTCAATATATATGCGACTGTGAAGACGGGTGGAGTAACGTTAATTGTGACACTGGTAAAGTGCCTTTAGTTTTTCATTTCTTTTTTTTTTTTAATTGTGGAATTGTTTTTACTCGGATAAAATATTAGGGAAGGTAAATACTATGGTTATGATAGTACACATGGGTTT